TCTGTTGTTGCCGTAGAAACTAGAAGAGTAAGTACTAAAATAACTAACTTGTAAATGAGTACTAAAATAACTAACTTGTAAATGAGACTGTAGACCTCTAATTTTCTTTTTTTCACAAGCCAATAACATAACTCAGAAATATTTGACAATTTTTGAAAACCTTGATCACAACTTGTTTCAATCTCATAATGTTGAAACTTTGATTTCAAATGAAGTTTCTCCATCTCTGAAAAATCCTGAGGATAGTATTTTTCTACAAGCTCACAAATATAATCAATATTGAAACTCTTGCACCCATTTTTAGGATCTAAAGCACCACTAAAAGTCAATAATTCCATTGCATTCTCATTAAATCTACAATTCAATACTTGCAATTGAGAATCTATTTCAGCATTGAAAATATCTATTCAATAATGATGCTCAACAGTAATAATATCAATGATACAATTTTTTTTGATAATAAAAAATCAATGAGTTTTATTATTTAAATATTACTCTCTCCATATTAGAATAATAGATTTTTTGTTTTATCTTCATATTAAGGATTTGGAAGCAATTTTTATTTTTACCTATTTTATACTTAAAAAATAACTAAAAATAAATATCTACTTCAATTATAATATAAATAATTAAAGTTAAGAAATAATCATAGGATTGAAGTAGAAAAAAACTATTTGTCTTCCTTAAATTAAGAAAAAAACCACTATTATTTTGGGACAAATTTTAAATAAAAAACATCTATTATTCTAGAATAGGGAGAGTATACTAATCTATTTTATCTTAAAAAATTAATAAAATAAAGAAAATGTTATATTAGATGATAGATAATTAAAGTTAAGAGATAATCATAAGATTAAAGTAGAAAAAAACTATTTGTCTTCCTTAAATTAAGAAAAAAACCACTATTATTTTGGGACAAATTTTCAATAAAAAACATCTATTATTCTAGAATAGGGAGAGTATACTAATTTTTGTTGTTAGAACATATTTATTAACAAGTATAAG